TAAAAGGCATCATTCTGACATTTAAAACATTCACCCTGCAACACTTTTATGTCCTTTAACAAATCTGTGATACTTTTTTCAAAGCTTTTATTACCTTGTTTTTTTTTTGTTTTTCTTTCATTTTTTTTCCATACTGGCAAAAACCAAACGGATGCTTTACCCAGCAGCCAAATCATATATTGCAATGGCTGGAGAAGGTCGTTGTCTTTGATGACAGAATTATTAACACACATTTAAATGTGAGATCTTGTGGCTTGGAAACAATAAATCCAGTAAATGGGCAAAGCAGCACTGCTAACTCAGCTAGTAAGAAACTTTAATATTCTCCGCTCAGTTCCGTTTATGCCCCAATCTGACAAGGGTTACAAGACGCTCGTCAGTGAATTTTTACTGGCTAATTACAGGGTTTAATCATGGGGAATATTGGAGGGGAAAGGACTGCGAGGATGTAATGGAGAACAAAATAATAATAGGAGCTAGTTATGCAGGCTAGACAATACCTGGTGGTCCATATCCTATCTTTCATACTTTTATGCTCTGAATTTTCTGTGCGTTACCTAATTATCATCTATTGCCATTTGCTGAGTTCTCTCAGCAACTCAGCAAGGTCAAGCAAAGTCTCACTCTTTGTTCCAAAACCATATGCGTTTAGTGCTTGTCATGCACGATGGCAGATTCGTTATTGCTGAATGTAGCTTCACAAGCTTTTTAGAGTACAACTTAAAGGAAAGATCTGTCTGTACAATCAGATTTTTTAAATTCTGTTCTCAAACAAAATTTAGCTGTACACGCGGCAGTTACTGTGTTAGAGGGAACGACTTCTTAGAAAGGTATATTTAGAGAAGCACGTAGGAATGTTTTAAAAGGAGCAGCAAACCTTGTACTTCTACCAAGTCAGCTACATAAATTTCACAGCTGTTACGAAAAGGCTTGAAATACTATAACTGTTTTTAGACGTTATAGCACAGTGACAGCAGAGACTTGCTTACCAGGTACTCTGCAGCCCAAAAAAAGCCTTAAGCTTTAGTAATGGATAAGCATACCTTCACAGATAAGCTGCAGAGTTCACCTGTCAGCCAGTGGTGTATTTAAGTTTTGTGCTGCCCTAGGCAACACCAAAATTGGCCACCCAACACCCCCCCTTTCCACAGAAAGAGCCTGACACCAATCAACACCACCAACCCTCTGTGGAGAGAGCCTAATATTGACTAACACCTCTGCCCCCCCACCTGAGACAGCTTTCCACTACCACCGCCCCCCATACACTGGCCACCCCCCTGTCAGGAGAGAGAAGACACTCACCTTCACAGCTCCAGACATCCCCGGGAAAGAGATATAAACTGTCAAGCAGCCCACAGCCTCTCTCGGATCCCACCTGGTCCCCATGCTGCATGTGTCCCTTCTTCATTCCCTTCTTCCGAGGGGCAGTGCTGCCCCCCTGAAAAATGCCACCCTAGGCAAATGCCTTGTTTGCCTTGTGGTAAATACGCCCTTGCTGTCACCTATAGTTCTTTGAACATGCAAGGCTGATCTATTACTGGTTCCTGACGCAAAGTTGGCTTGTTACCTGTAGCTTATCTGTTACTCGTAGTCCCTCGGGCTAGTTGGCAATCTGCTACTTGTAGTCACACAGCTGTACATACTAAGCTCCTCTGTTATCTGTTGCTCTACATATATACTGTATATTCAAGACTGGAGCCTTAGGCATCACCCAAATCCACTGCTGTTTAATAGAGCCGCTTCCCAGGTAATTCCTGCCCAGTCTGCCATTCAGCACCACTATTTAGGATATGCTCAAACTACAGTATTTGCCTGGACAATAGGTGGCCTTTTTAGTTGCAAGCAGGGGCAGACTGACCATTTGGAAACTCAAGCACTGCCCGAGGGCCCGGGGTCAGTAGGGGGGCCCATGAAATGCCCCTGGTACCTTTTTCATAGGCTTTTTTGAGTTTGGGCAAGGACACAGGGGCCCCATGATCCCCTATTGCCCGGGGGCCCCATGAGTTGTCAGTCTGCCTCTGGTTGCACGCTGCAGTTCCTAGTACCATTTCTGAGTTCCTAGTGTTAGTTTCAGCTCCAGTGTTTTCCTGTTCACCGCAGCTGCATCCAGCCTTCCAACTCCAGTGTGTTTCCAGTGCACCCCAGCCACATCCAGCATTCTTCCTTCAGTGTGTCTCCTGTGCACTCTAACAAGAATCCTGTCCCAGCTCTTGTTTGCCCATGTGCACTCCTGTCTTCCTGTGAGTCCGGCATTCTTGTGCTGCTTTCCTAACTCTTGAATCCAGTGACTCCAGTAAATATGATCAACTGAAGTCTGAATGGGTGCACTTGGGGGCCGCAACCTGGGTGCTGCTCCGTAGCAAAATTATTCTCCACCATCAGGAGCACTGATGAAGACCAGGTGCCCATTAGACCCTGCACCCCAAAACACTGCCATCAGACATGCAGGCTGCACAAAGGATCCACAAGCCCTCAGCCTCTAACACTAACACATATTTTGCAAAGCCTTTTATCATCATCAGTAGATCTATAGAATAAGTCGCATGAGCCAGCTTAAATGCTTTACAACTACAAACAGAATATGTAGTCATGGACTTTGAAAGTACATATAGAAGAGAAACTGAGTACTGTAAAAAGCATTAAATCTATTACACAGTATTAAAAATTACTCTCCAGATAAGGGTTCACAACATGCAAAGATTCCGATTAATGTTCACATGAGGACTTGATGCGTTTCATGAATCCTTCTTCAGGAGCACATGCAGGGGTGTATCTGCCGTAAGGCAAACAAGGCGTTTTCAGGGAGGCAGCACTGCCCCCAGGCAGAAGGGACAAGGGACCAGGGTTTGGCAGGTCAGGAGAGCTCGGCAGGGCTCGGGCAGGAGCCAGGTTGTGGGCTCAGAATTTCTTGAGCATGGGAAGGTGGGCTCGACTTATCAACCTGCTCCACTCACCCGGCCTCTTTGCAGCCAGCCGGCCGTCTATTCAATTCCGTGAATACAACCATCAGGGCCGAAGGGCAGAGCCTAGAGCTGACCGTGAAGAGGGGAGCAAGAGAGGAGACTCCATCGCTGCATGTCAGGTATCACGGCCATGGACCCCAAATACAGTTGTGACCAAAATTATTCAACCCCCACTGAAATTGAGTGTTTTGGCCAGTTTGACATTGCTTTTGATCATTCAGTCATCTTGCTTACATTTACATTAAAGAGGCACTTGTAGGTCAGACAAATATAACATAACAGTTATAATGAAATAACCACAAATGTCTTTTCTGTGCTCACAGCATTATCAGTTTTATTCAACCCCCAAGTGACATTCAATCTTAGTACTTAGTACAGCATCCTTTTACAGTTATAACAGCTTTTTAAACGTGAAGCATAGCTTGACACAAGTGTCTTGCAGCGATCTACGGGTATCTTCGCCCATTCTTCATGGGCAAAGGCCTCCAGTTCAGTCACATTCTTAGGCTTGCGCACTGCAACTGCTTTCTTTAAGTCCCACCAGAGGTTCTCAATCGGATTTAAGTCTGGTGACTGCGATGGCCACTCCAAAATGTTCCAGCCTTTCCTCTGCAACCATGCTCTAGTGGACTTGGAGGTATGCTTGGGATCATTGTCCTGTTGAAAGGTCCAACGTCTCCCAAGCCTCAGGTGTGTGACGGACTGCATCACGTTTCCATCCAATATCTCCTGGTACTGAAGAGAATTCATGGTACCTTGCACACGCTGAAGCTTCCCTGTACCTGCAGAAGCAAAACAGCCCCAAAGCATGATTGACCCTCCACCATGCTTCACAGTAGGCAAGGTGTTCTTTTCATCATAGGCCTTGTTCTTCCTCCTCCAAACATAGCGTTGATCCATGGGCCCAAACAGTTCTAATTTTGTTTCATCAGTCCACAGAACACTATCCCACAACTTTTGTGGTTTGTCCACATGGCTTTTGGCATACTGCAGTCGACTCTTCTTATTCTTTGGAGACAGCAAGGGGGTACGCCTGGGAGTTCTGGCACGGAGGCCTTCATTACGCAGTGTGCGTCTTATTGTCTGGGCTGAAACTTCTGTACCCACATCTGACAAATCTTTTCTCAGTTCCTCAGCAGTCACACGGGGACTTCTCTCCACTCTACGCTTCAGGTAGCGCACAGCAGTCGAAGTCAGCATCTTCTTTCTGCCACGACCAGGTAGCGTTTCAACAGTGCCCTTTGCCTTGAATTTGCGAATGATGCTTCCTAAGGTGTCTCTTGGTATGTTTAACATCTTTGCAATCTTCTTATAGCCATTGCCCTTCCTGTGAAGAGAAATCACCTCTTCTCTTGTCTTCCTGGACCATTCTCTTGCCTTCACCATGTTTGTAACCACACCAGTAAATGTCTAATGAAGGAGCTGAGTATCACAGTCATTTTAAAGCTGCCTAATTGGTGCTTATTATGCTTGATTGCTGCTCGGTGACATCCACAGGTGTTTTTCAATACCTGATGGAAAGCACCTGTATGAACCTCTGTTCTTCAGAGTGGTAGTCTTTAAGGGGTTGAATAATTGTGGCAATGAAGAAACCACATAAGAACCATTTACTACTGTATTACTAAACAATTGATGTCATTTTAGTTGCATTTGGGTAGTTACAACGTCCTTGTAGGATTTGATTCTGAATACAATTCCAAATGTACCACTATAGTCCCTAAACCCCTTTACAGCATTGGGGGTTGAATAATTTTGGTCACAACTGTAAGTGCAATAGATGATCAATCTCTCTCTCTTCCCTCTCTCTGTCTCTCGTTCTGTCTTCCCCCCCTCTCTCTCCCCCTCTCTCCTCTCTCTCCCCCCCCCCTCTTTCTCTCTTTCTCCCCCCTTTCTCTTGCCCCCCCTCTCTCTTCCCCCCTCTCTCTCTCTCCTCTCCCCCCCTCTCGCTTTCCCCTCTCTCCTCTCCCCCCTCTCTCTCCCCCTGTTCTCTCTCTCTCTTTACAGTCTCTCTGCAGTCTCTGGTCATCTCCTGTAGTATGTCCGCAGTCTCTGGTCATCTCCTGTACTGTGTCCGCAGTCTCTGGTCATCTCCTGTACTGTGTCTGCAGTCTCTGGTCATCTCCTGTACTGTGTCTGCAGTCTCTGGTCATCTCCTGTACTGTGTCCGCAGTCTCTGGTCATCTCCTGTAGTATGTCCGCAGTCTCTGGTCATCTCCTGTACTGCGTCCGCAGTCTCTGGTCATCTCCTGTACTGTGTCCGCAGTCTCTGGCCATCTCCTGTAGTATGTCCGCAGTCTCTGGTCATCTCCTGTACTATGTCTGCAGTCTCTGGTCATAATCTCCTGTACTGTGTCTGCAGTCTCTGGTCATCTCCTGTACTATGTACGCTGTCTCTGGTCACCTCCTATACTATGTCCGCAGTCTCTGGTCATCTCCTGTACTATGCCTGCAGTCTCTGGTCATCTCCTGTACTATGTCTGCAGTCTCTGGTAATCTCCTGTACAATGTCCGCAGTCTCTGGTCATCTCCTGTAGTACATCCGCAGTCTCTGGTCATTTCCTCTACTATGTCTGCAGTCCATTGGTTCAGAATATTTTGTTTTCCTCCTCTAAAACCTAGGTGCGTCTTATAGTCAGGTGCATTTTATGGAGTGAAAAATAGGGTAACCACTTCCCGTCCGCTGTATATTTATGAATGTCCTTGGACGGAAAGGGTGATATCTCTGTCATTGTTGCAACTGCAGAAATGATGAAGATAACATTCTCTAGCCCCAGCGATTTTGCACACGATAAAAGTAATCTGGGGGCTAACAAGTTGCTGGATTACTTTTACAGGCGGTGTAAGGGCGTCCCTCCCTCTCCTGCCACCGATGCCTTTACCGGGCTCTCCCGTGCAGTGGGGAAGCCCGGTAAGGATGTGACCAGCGGCATCCAGCTCTAGGCAGACAGAGAGAGGAATAGATATTTTCCGCCCACTGTGTGATGTCAGAAACAGGAAGCAACAAGGATTTTTGTCACTCCCTGTCTTTGCTCTTTGTTTACCTGGCCATCAGCGGCCAGTAAAGCAACCGATCAGACTGATCTGTGATCGCATGCATTGGGAGGCCAGAGGAGAGATTTGGGCTCTAATAGACCCCTAATCTCTCCATAAAGAAGACCTGTCATGGCCTATGCTATTACAAGGGATGTTGTGCATCCCTTGTAATAGAAATAAAGTTGATAAAAAAAAGTTAAAAGGTACAGTGTAAAAAAAAAATTATATAAAGAAATAATAAAATAGCAAAAAAATGTAAAGCACCCCCATTCCCCCATACAACATTCACATAGGTCCCTCACGCATATATAAATGGAGATCGCTCCACACAAGTGAGGTACTGCCATGAATGTCAGAGTGAGAGTAAAAATTCTAGCGCCAGCACCTGTGTAACTCTAATTTGGTAACTTGTAAAGGCTTTATAAAAATGTTTTGCCTATGGAGATTTTTAGGTACCATAATTTGGCACCAAATGGCATACCGTGGCTGGCGTGGGACAAATTCAGATGGTGGGGGGGGCACCCGATTTTAGTCTTGCCGAGGGGGAGGAGCGCGGGGGCGCCCAATTTTAGTCTTACCTAGGGCAGCACAAAACCAAAATACATCACTGCGCACATGTGACATACTGTGCAGTAATCAGTACACTGGAACCCACTCCTAATCTTTAACAGAGTAATTTCAGCCAGTAGGGTAGACTGGAATTCATAGCATGTGCATGTTGCCCGTGGAGGTGCAAATGAGTAAGCCAAGATGAAGCCACTGCTTCTCAGGTGGAAAATTCAGGTACATTCAGTAAACAGCCAATGGTCTTGTACACATAATTTTAAAATAGAAGGACCAATTTCTCATCCAGAAACCACCCAGACCTAATGTAAGAAAATCACCATAAAAACAGCATGGTAGTCAAAGTACTCAAGGCACATATATTCCAAAGAGGGGGCTCTTGCTAAGTATCTTAGAAACAATCTCAATTCACATAAATCCAGCCTAAATTCTTTATTTTACAATGTATGTGTTGCTTTGTTAAATGTGTAGCACTACCCCCCTTAGGAGTTGCAATAGATTTGGGTCCCCCTATAGACCTGAATGGCCAGACAACACACATTTCCACAGACTTGAATCCAGGAGACAGAAATCAATCTTTAAGCTTGTTTTTGATGTTTTTTTAGGGGGATTTCAACTTGGATGGGGTAAGGGGGATGCCCAATGGAACTGATAAATTGAAGACAACTTCCTGGAACTATTTACAAGTCTCTACTGCAACACAGTCTCTTTCGAAGAGCTAGCCAGCATCTTCTGTAGTACCACCCCAGACCCCAGATAAACTCCTCATCTTTACCCAGCTATCTGGAGGTATCCCTGAGCAGGGGATCTGGTGCCTGTCACTTCAAGAAATTAGAGAGCCCCAGTAGGTGGAAAATCTGGTTTCCCTCCAGAATTCTCTTTCCCCTATCTTGCTAAGGGGGTGCAGGGATACTCACTCAGTCCTTCTCCTGTGAGGCTGGTGGGTCAGTGGCTGCTACAAGGTCTTTTAGCTGGGCTGCTCCTTCCCTGCTGCACAGGTGGTCCTCGCTCTGCGGGCCGGTGAGGGTCTGGGTTTTTGTCTTTCCCAGCTTCACTTCCTGTAGATGAGCCCCTCTCTCCATCTGGCCGCCCTCCCAGGCTCCTGCCTTTAGTTTCCCATTCTCTCTGTCTTCCACCCAAACCCTCCTACATCTGAGCAGGCTCAATCACTTTTAATGACTGTCCTGGCCTCCTAGCTGACAATTGAGGTCTAACTCTCCCCAGCTGACTAAAATGGTGCTACAAATGTATGGCTGGGTTCTCTGTTCACCTTTTTACTAGCTCTTATTTATTCAAATGTAATTCTATTTGGATTAAAGCATATGTAAACCTTCACCTTGTAAAACAACCCATTCAGTTTAAAAAAGAAATAAAAGGGCAAAACGTTTCTGTATAAATATAAAAATAAATCACAAATACCTTTTTTATAAGTAATCACAAACACAGGAGCTGTGAAGGAGAAACATCAGTGCACTGATCTTTCCAGTGAATGGCTGTGCAGAGGTTATGTAAACAGAAAATATGCTCTTTATTTGCACCTTCACTTCTGAATTACATAACAGGATTGTCAGAAGTGGTTTATATGCATCTGTGTACTAGTGGAATTTTTTGGGGGTATTTAGCATTTTAGCTTTAGTATACTGACAAATATGCTATTAAAAAGTAAGTTCACATATACATACACTATATTGCCAAATATATTAGGACACCCCATTAAATCATTGGATTCAGGTATTCCAATCACCTCCATGGCCACAGGTTTATAGAATCAAGCACCTAGGCATGCAGACTGCTTCTACAAACATTTGTGAAAGAATGGGTCTCTCTCAGGAGCTCAGTGAATTCAAGCGTGGCACCGTGATATGTTGCACCTGTGCAATAAGTCCATCCATGAAATTTCCTTGCTACTAAATATTCCATGGTCAACTGTTAGTGGTATTATAACAAAGTGGAAGCAACTGGGAACAACAGCAACTCAGCCATGAAGTGGCAGGCCATGTAATACTACAGAGAGGGGTCAGCGTATGCTGAAGCGCACAGTGTGCAGAAGTTGCCAACTGTCTGCAGAGTCAATAGCTAAAGACCACCAAACTTCGTGTGGCCTTCAGATTAGCACAACAGTGCAGAGAGAGCTTCATGGAATAGGTTTCTATGGCCGAGTAGCTGCATCCAAGCCTTACATCACCCAGTGCAATGCAAAGCATCTGATGCAGTGGTGTAAAGCACACCACCACTGGACTCTAGAGCAGTGGAGACGTGTTTTCTGGAGTGACTAATCACGCATCTCTGACTGGCAATCTAATGGATGTGTTTGGCTTTGGTGGTTGTCAGGAGAGTGGTACTTGCCTGACTGCATTGTGCCAAGTGTAAAGTTTAATGGAGGGGGAGATTATGGTGTGGGGTTGATTTTCAGGGGTTGGGCTTGGCCCCTTAGTTCCAATGAAGGAAACTCTTAAGACGTCAGCATACCAAGACATTTTGGACAATTTCATGCTCCCAACTTTGTGGGAACAGTTTGGGGATGGCTCCTTCCTGTTCCAACATGACTGCACACCAGTGCATAAAGCAAGGTCCATAAAAACATAGATAGGTGATTTTGGGGTGGAGGAACTAGACTGGCCTGCACAGCCCTAATCTCAACTCCATAGAAGACCTTTGGGATGAATTAAAGTGGAGACTGCGAGCCAAGCCTTCTTGTCCAACATCAGTGCCTGACCTCACAAATGTGCTTCTGGAAGAATGGTCAAACATTCCACTCCTAAACCTTGTGGAGAGCCTTCCCAGAAGAGCTGAAGCTGTTATAGCTGCTAAGGGTGGGCCAGCTCAATACTGAATGCTACGGACTAAGACTGGGATGCCATTAAAGTTCATGTGTAAAGGCAGGCGTCCCAATACTTTTGGTAAAATAGTGTATGTCTGTCTGTTGCCCTGTAGACCATATTGCTTTAGCTATTTTGTTGATGAAGTTGTAAGTGAGTGGTTAACTTACAGATCACACATAATATTGAAAAAAAAAATGCATCCCATTTAGACTTCAGAAATGACTTCTCTTTCTTTCTTTCCAAAATGCATTGCCGTAAATGAGACAAGATGTTCCTGGGCTTAAAGCTGGCATTCTATATGTAAATGTCCTTCTGTGTCATAAGTACTTTGACAGCTTCATAAGACTCAGCCTCAACACTTCATCAATCACTCGTGCTTATCCATTTTCCTTGCTTTTTCCACTGCAAGAAATAAAAACAAGATTTAAACCTCAATATCGTAGATAAGGTAAATGGTCAGCATATCACATATACTCCGTTGTTAATCCTAATTCCTTCAGGCTAATCTACTTCTACTTGGCTGGTGAAAATCTACTTCACTGTAACCAATCGGGAAAATACATAAATTCATTATATGAGAAGCAAACAGATATCAATTATTGGGATACATATACTGTATGTATATATATATATATATATATATATATATATATATATATAAAAAATATATTAACTGATCATTCTCCTTAAAATATAACTAAACGCAAGAACAAAAATGTAAAAATGTAATATACAGTGTGTTTCAAAAACGAGAAATATTTGGTGCACTAAAAAGAAAAAGACCAGATGTATAATGTGATGGCTAGTATATTAACCAAAGAACAAAGGTATACAGCTCAGGCAAACAATCCAGATCAATCCACAACAGGTGCAGACTCTTGCTCGCCACCACACAAGATGCAATAGGAAGCAGGGTTAGCCGCACACCAGAGGATAGATGAATATAGTGTGCATTTATTAATCCATAGGACACACCAGGACATGAATACAGGACCTGTTAACGCGTTTCACACAATCTCGTGCTTAATCATAAGTTATGATTAAGCACGAGATCGTGCGAAATGC